TTTTTTTATTTCTAGTCTTTATTTCTAAATCTATTTTATGTTATTATTTCCTAGAAGTACTTTTTTTTTTTTTTATGTTTTTTTTTATTTTTGTTTTTTATACGCTTTGTTTGCTTTTTGCTAATGGATTGAATACGACTTTATTTTGTTTTTTTTCTTAAAATTTTTCTGTAAATTATTTATATTCAGTTCTTTATTTTTAAATTTCGACTTTTTTTTATTCATCTGAGGAATTCAATGGGAAAATATTTAATAATAATCTCCAAAAACTAAATCTTATTTATAATTCGTTCACGTGTTTTATGTTTTATGTTAATTCTTGGATGTTTTCATTAGAATTTAATATGTATTTTTCGAAATTTTGAAATGAAAATCCTAAAGTAATATCTATTCTGATTAAATGAAATATAAATATTTTATATAATAGTTATTTTTTAGAAAATATAGATTATTACTCATCATTTGGTAAAAATTATTAAGATATCATAAAAATTTATTTTTATTTAAATAATATATATGTATTTAATTTTTGTTAATTTTTTTTTTAAAAAAAAGATGTATATTTAAAAATATAAACTAAATTTTATTTAAAAAAATATAAATATATATTTTAATATTTTTTTTTATTTATTAGAATTTTATTTAACTAGCTTAATTTTTTTTTTTCATTAGAAATTATTAATAAATACAATGTTTTTATTTTTTTAAAAGACTTTCCTTTTTTTTGTATTGTTTAATTTTAACTATTTTTTTTTTTTTATTTTAATTAATAAACTTCTTTACATAAATTAAATATATTTAATTTATATTTAACGAAAATAAAAAAAAAAAATATTATATTTAAATTATTTATTGTAAAATATTTATATATTTTTATAGTAAATTTATACATTTTAATTCAAAAGAAAAATAAAAATGCAAATTTTTTTATTAACTTAAAAATATTTATTAATTAAAAAATATTTTATTATTATTTATATTATAAATACAATATATTTATAATATGTTTTTTTAATTATAATATTTATTATAATAATTATTATAAAAATTATTATAATATTTATAAATAATATTTTTTAATATTAATTATTAATTATAATAATAATATTATTTCTTTTATTATAATTATTAGAATTTATTATTATTATTATTATTATTATTATTATTATCCATTATTTTTTAGCTTAGTTTATTTTATTTTATATATATTTTTTTTAAAAAAAACTCAAATAAATAAAATAAAGTTAGTAACATTTTACTTATCAAATGTATTTAAATAAAAAATAGTGAAGATATAATAAAATATTAAAATTTAATAAATATAAACAAATTGATATATTTTTATAATAACTAATTTTATTATTATTTTTATTCTCTAAAAAATTTATTTATTTCTTATTTTAATTCCTATTATTTTTAATGTATTTTTAAATTTTTATAATAAATTAAAGTTATAATTTCCTTTTATAAACAAATAAATTAAATTCGAGTTATACTTGATTGTTTTAATTATAAGATATTATTTTTTGAATTAATTATAATAATATATAATATTAAGATTTTTATTCCGTTTTTTCATTAGAAATTTATATTGTTAATTATAAAATTTTTATAGAAAATAAATGATTTTATAAAAATTAATTTATAATAAAAAAAATATATTTATATATATATATATAATATTTATAATTATTTTTATAAAATAACTATTTTGCTTTTATATATAATAAAATTTCAGTTTTTTCAAAACACCTAATAGTTTATTTATTACCTATTCAATTAACTCTATATAATATAAAAACTATAAAATAATAAATATATTAGTAAAATAAAACAAAAATTATTATAAAATAAAAAAACCGATGAATATATCAGTATCATCCACAGCAAACCTATAAGAACATCCAAATATTTCTACAAAGAAACCTAATAAATTAAAATACTTATATATATCAATGGCTTCCATTACATTAATATTTTTACTTTATAACTGTTCTTTCTAAACTGACTAAAATATTAATACTTAAAAGTCTTACACTAGACAATTAGATGAAGAATTCAATTTTATGCTTTAGAAAGACGAAAAATCATCAGACGATTACACATATGTAAGAATTAAAGTCGAAAAAGCTCATATAAACGAAAAGGACATAATGTGTGAAAACCTAATTATAATAAATAAAAGAACCGAAGAAGAATAACACTTTGTGAAATGTGGAGACGAATAGATTTGGTAAATGATTAATGAATAAGAATTATCTTAAGGACTTGAGCTATTCCCTGATGAAGTTATTTCTTTTGATGATGAATATGAAGATGAAAATACATAAATCGATAATATAGATTATTTTTAAATTGAAGATTTTAATTAAATTGAAGATTTTGATTCATAAAGAAATCTTCTTAGTTGGGAATATGTTGGTGAATCTTTTGAAACTTCAGATTGTGGAGCTTAAATTAGAGTTGAATATAGACGTTATTATTAAGATATTAAATGGTTTACTTTGAAATGGGTAAAAACTGGAAAATGGCCTTGGTAAGGATATTGGGTTAAAGTTTGGCACTCTAAAAGAATATATCTTGGTACTTGGGAAAAAAGATTCTGTTTATCTTGGTGTGCAAGTAAAAATTGCAATGTAAAAATAGCTTTAACTCTTATTTTAACTTGTTTAGATAGTGAATGTATTTGTCATCCTTGGTGTAAACCTTTTGGATTCCATTGATTAATAAAAAAGTAAGAATATGAAAAATATATATTTGCTTTTTCATTTACTTTTTTCGTTTTTTAAACAAAATATTATTATTAAATATTATTTTTTATTATAAGTATATAAAATATTTTTAATTTTAAAAATTTATTAAGAATTATATTTTAAAAAATTTTTCTAATTAATTCTTCGTTTTTTATTTTTATTAATTTAATGAATTAAATTAAATATTTGTTATAAAAGCATACGTAATAATACATAAAATAGAGATGTGCTCTTTTAGGTTATGTTCCTAATGAAAATCCACATAATAACACTATCAAATTATTTGGTAATTATGATTTAATTTTAGATAATGCAATATGGAAAAAATTTAATATGTAAAGCACTTTAAAAAGCTTAGAGTTAAATAAGGAAGAAATAGAGTTAATATTGTTTAAATTTTTTTAGGATATAAATTATTTTCCAAAATAAGAAATTAGTTATGATGTTGAGTTATCATTAGAATAATTATACGGACAAATAAAAAATATAATAGAAAATTAACATATATAAGGAGAAAAAATATAATGATAAATTAAAATATATAAAAATGGTAATATATATAAATATATAAATATATAAATATATAAATATTTATATATATATTAAATTTTTTTTTTTTTTATTTAATTTAATTTTCTTTTTAAAATATTTTTTTTTTATAAAATTTCACTATTTTTTTTTAAACATATATTCATATATATATAATAATTTTGCATAATTCTTATATAATTTTTTTTTAAAAAAAAAATAAATATTAAATTTTAAATCACCATTATTTTTCTCTATATCCTCTTTTAGAATGTAAAATTTGGTCATCTAATTTTTCTTTTAATAATTAATTTAAGTCAAGAATATTATTTTATCTTTTAACTAAAGTTTATTATTGAATATTAATTGTTTTTTCGTTATTTTCTTTTAATAAAATTGAATTTTCTTTATTTTTAATAATTACATTACATAAAAGTTTTAACTTTTATATAATTAATTATTCTTATTCATTAAATTAATTATAATTTTCATCATTTAAGTCATTATTAATATTAAGATTTAATTCTTCTTATAATTTTAAATATTCTTATATTAAATATTAAATTTTCTGATTTTATAATACTGGACATATACTATATTATTATTATTTTTATTTTTAAAAATTAAAAAAAAAATCAATTAATTAAATTTTACATTTTCAAAATTACATATTCTGATTTTTCTTAATTTATATCAAATGCTTTTATTTCCGATTTTCTAATATATTAAGATTTATTTAGCTTTTTTTTTTTATAAAAAATAAATAAAATAAAAAATTAACTTCATCTTTTAAAATATTAATTTAATTATTCAAATTTTTAATTTAAGCAAATAAATTAATTTCATTTTCATGACAATTTAAAGCTTTATTCTATAATTCAAATTAACTTTTTAATTAAATAATCTAAACTTCATTTTCTTCATTGGATTTTAAAATATAATTTGTTTAATACTTTAAATATTATAAAATTATAAAATAATAAATTATATATATATATATATATATATATAATATAATATATATTTTTTATATAATTTTTATATATTTTATTTTTTACTTCAATTTATTAAAATAATATTAAAAGCCATTCTGATACACATTTAATATTTAAAATTTAGTTATTTTTTTGATTATTTTAATTAAACTAGTTAATCAATTTACTAAATGAAGGAGAAATAATTGAATTTAAATTTTTTATTTTACTTATTTTAAAAAAGTCATTCAAAAATTAATTAACAATTTCAAAATTATTTTAAAGAATATTTTTTAATTCAATTTATTCTTGTTAAATTTTTGTTTTTTCATATTTTTCTTCCTATAAAATCTTCTATTGGTTTTCATAAAAACTATTTTATTATTTTAAAAGGTTATCATTCTATTCACAAAGATAATTTATTTTTTATTGGCTTTCAATTTATAAATTTTATAGTTTTTCTTTAAATTAAGTTATCTCGGTTATTTTTTATTCATATTTATATATTTAAGATCTTAAATTTTCATTATTATCTTGAATTGCCTTAATATTTTTTTACAATTATTCATTTTATTTTAATAAATCTTATTAATTTATTTAGTTTTATATTATTTATTAAGTAATATCATATATTTAATTATTTTTTTCTGAAATTTCTTATTTTAATTGTACATTTTCTTTGGACAAAATGTCTAAAAAATTATTTTTTTTTCCATTTATATTGCTTTCTTTATTTTCCAAAAGTTGTCGATAAGTATTTATATCTTTAAAACATTTTTAAATTTCTTAATTTTTATTTCCAATTATTTAGTTAATTCATTACAATATAGGATTAAACCATTTTCTTGTTTGTTTTTTGCTAATAAATTTTATGTTGAAAAGCTTGTTTTTGAAGATAAATTGAATTTATTTTAATTATAATTTAAAATAGAAGATGCTGATTAAGTATGTTAATGCATATTTTTTAATTTTGTATTAAAATTTATTAAATTATTAAAAAAAAAATATTTCTTTATTTTTTTAAAAAAAAATAAAAAAAATAATAAAAATAATAAATATAATATATATAAAAATAAATATATATATAAAATATAATTAAATATATATTAATATATATATATATATATAGTTTCATTTTCATATATTATATTATTTCAAAAATTATTTCAAAAGTTTTATTAATTATATATTATTTTTATCAATATTTTATTTAGTTGTTGGCATTTTACTAATAATAAAATCTTTACAAATTTCTACTTCATTATTTTTAATAAGAAGCTTCTTCTCATATAAATTATAAGAATCATTATTATTATTATTATTTTCTTATTTATTTTAATTTTAAAATACATTTTATTATTTATATTTAAGTTCTTCAACTTCTACTTTTTTATTTTCTAAATTTTTTTATAAGTTATCCACAAGATTTTTCAAAAAATTATTTTCGTTTCTTTGAATATATTTATTTTATTTAAAAGCTTTAAATTCATATTAATCTTATTCATACTTTTATTCTAAAATATTATATTCATTTTACCAATAGCTTTTTATTCTTATAAATCTATAAATTTATTATTTAATTCTTTAATAATATTTTCTAAAACTATTTTTTTTATTCTCTTTCTTCCTATTCTTATTAAATCTATTAATTTTTTTAGTAATATTCCTATATAATACTATCAACCATTTTATCTTTAAATTATATTGAATTAAATTATTCTTTTAAAATTTTTATTTCTTTTTATAATTTCAATATATATTCTTATTATTAATAATATATATGTATAAAAGGGATTCCGCTTTCTTTATCAATTAAATATTAACTTAATTACTCAAATAAGTTTTTTAACAATTTTCTATTTAATTTTTCTTATTCTTCTTCATATTCTGTATCTAATACTCTTCTAATTAATTAAATACACTCTTTAATATAACTATTTTAGTTTATTTTTTATTAATTATTTAATTATTCATTACTAAAGTATTCTTATTTTTTCTCAGTCTTTGAAAATACTCTTTTAATATTTAAATCTAAATTAACAGATGTCTTAATTTTTAATTATTAAGTCTTTTTACAAAAAATATCTTTATCTTCAAATTATTCGATATCTAAAAAACTTTTTATTTGGTTTTTTGATTAACAGTAATCTACTTATAAATTTTTTACTGGACTTATTAATTATGTTGATAGATTTTCAAAATAATGCTCATTTAACAAAGTTTAACATGATTTTTTTTTATTTAAAGTCTTTATTTATTAAATACTTTAGGGTCTACTTTTTAAATTAATAGATATTTTTTTTGGAGAACATGAAGTTATTTTAAATTTACACATTTCTGATTATAAAGTATGTTTTTATCGCATTTTTATTATTATAAAATTTAATAAAATCTTAAAGAAATTTATCTTTTTATTTTATTTTTTATATTAATAAAAAATATATAGATAAAATTATGTTTGTATAAAAAATAAACACAATAATTGTAAAAATAAAATAAAATTCTAATACAAATCTTGAATATATACATATTTTTAAAAATAATTAAAGTTATCAAAAAAATATAGAAAGAAATTATTAAAATATAAGAAACTATCAATTGTTTGAATTCAATAATTATAGCATTTAATAAAAATTTCTATTATTATAATAATGAGAGTCATTATTTGATTAAAAACGAGAATTACTTTAATTTTTTTAATGGAAAATATTAGGGCTCATTAAAGAAAGTTATTATTAAATAGGAGGAAGGAATGGATATTAATTTTATGGTTAACTTTATTTAAAGTTTTAAATAGTTTCTTTAATTTCTTTAATTTAATTCACTATATTATCTTAATTTTGTTAATAATTTGCAATTAAATTATTTTAATATTAAAGATTTTATAATTCTTTTTATTCGTTATTATTTTAAAATGTTTATAATATTTTCTCCAGAATTTTATTTTATTATTCAATTTATTTTTTAAATATATTTTTTAATTTTTTATTATTGTTTTCTATTTAATTATTTACTTCCTCTTATATAATATCTACAAAATTTCTCATTTAATACCTTTGTTTTTAAGAATACATATTTTCATTAATATCATTATAATTATTAAAATATAAAGATTAATTGTTTGACTTTCCTTTAGTTCTTGTATTTATAATATTATTTTTATCAATATTCAAAAAATAGCCAGGACTTGGTTGATTTTATTTATTGCAGATAATATTCATTACTAATTTAGTTTTAATAAATTTTATTTAAATATATATTATTTTATTAAATATTATATTTTATATTTCAATTATTTGTATTATTATTTGTTTATTTTCTATTATAATTTTCTATTTTTTAAATTTATTTTGTTTATGAAAGTCTATTATTTTATTGTTTTCGTTTATATTTACTGGGATGATATTAAGAATTTTAAAGTTATTAATATTTCAATAATTTTTTAATAAATTAAGGTAAAAATTATTATTTAGATA